GGAGCCTGGGGGCTCAGGGCCGCATCAGGGTCAGGTGGGTGGAGGTTTGGAGTGGGTGAGGGTCAGGTCTGAGGTGGGGGGAAGGCTGAGGTTATGGCCAGGGTCAGGAATGGGGTTGGGGTTGGGGGTAGAGCTGGTGTGAAGGTCAGGGCTGGGGTTGGAGATAAGGTCGGGAGTGGGGTCAGGGTTAGAGCTGGGGTTGGGGTTTGGGTTAGTGCCAGGGTTGGGCTTGGTCAGGCTCAGGCTCTGGGCCAAGGTCTGGTGCCAGGCTTTGGTTGGGGTTAGGTGAGGATTTGGGTGAGGGCTGGGCTCAGCATCAGGCTCCACTCCTTAAGGTTGCTTGGGGTCAGGGTGAGGTTTGGGTGGGCTTTGGATTAGGGTCAGGAGTGGGCTTAGGGTCAGGCTCAGGCTCTGCGTCAGGGCCAGGTTTGGGGTCAGGATGAGGGTTAGGGGTAATTCTGGAGTCAGGCTCTGGTGTGGGGCCAGGTGTGGGGCCAGGAGCCGAACCTCAGCATGGTGCAATGGTGCCGCAACACCCGGCCCCACCGTGCCAAGGCCCGGGGTGGGGGCAGCCCCTCTTGGGGTCCCGGCTTGGGGTCCCTGTGTGCCCGCACCGCGTGCCGCCCCGCAGTGCGACATGCAGAAGCTGACGGTGGACGAGCTGAAGCGCCTGCTGTACGACACCTTCTGCGAGCACCTCTCCATGAAGGACATCGAGAACATCATCATGACGGAGGAGGAGAGCCACATGGGCACGGCCGAGGAGTGTCCTGTGGAGGTGGAGAGTGAGTGGGGCAGGGGGGGGACGAGGCGGGAGGTGAGAAGGGGACGCGTGCTGACCCGGGCCGTCCCCGCAGCCTGCTCCAACCAGCAGATCAGGCAGACGTGCGTGCGGAAAAGCCTCATCTGCGCCTTCGCCATCGCCTTCATCATCAGCGTGATGCTCATCGCCGCCAACCAGGTGCTGCGCAGCGGCATGAAGTAGCGCGGATACGGGGCGTCCGTGCGGCTCCTGACGGGGCGCCCAACTGCCGCGAGCAGAGCCGCCACCAAACACCCCGGGGATGGAGAGAGAAACCCGGCGCAGGGTGAGCGTGGAGCTCGGGCGGCTGCCTGCAGGACGCACGGACTCTGAGAGACACGCACCAAACCGAACCCTCGCCAGCAAATCCTCAGTGCATGCAACGCGCATGGAGCCCAACTGCTGCCCCATCCTGCCCAGCCGGGGCGACCCGGTGCCGGTTGCACCACTATAGCCTCTATAGCTCGATATTTATGATAAAAACAAAACGAAACACACACACACACAAAAACCAAACCCAACCAAACCATCTCGTAAGCAATACACCCCTACACCCCCGCCTGAGATGTTTTTCTCTTCGGAGATCCGGGAGCGTTTGCATGGACGTCGCTGCCAAGGGCTGGATGTCACCCCCTGCCCCCCCCCCACCCCGTGCCGTGCCTCGGTTTCCCCCCCTCCCTCCAGACGGGGCTGGCACTGCTGACCTCTGCTTGATGCACTTTGCAAGGACCCGCCGGGAAGAGCCGTGCATCCCGGGGGACCCCCCTGCCCCCAACCCCCCAGCCTGTATGTAGCACCCCGGCACCGGACTGGTTCGGATGCGGGTCTGTTTCTCATTCTTTGGGTTTTGTTGGATTCCCCCTTTTTTTTTTTCTTTTTTTTTTTTTTGGCATTATTTTCTTTTTTTGCCCCTTTCCTTCCTGGTTGGTTGTTGTTATTGATCTGAAATAAATCTGGGATTTCTGAAGCGCTCGGGGCTCATGGTGGGTTGGGTACCCATGGGTGCTGCACGCCTCCCCACCGTGCTTTCGGCTTTAGGTGTTGATCCACGTGTGAAGTCCTGCTCTTGGTTTATGGCACGGCAGGGGTCCAACCAACCCCCCCCCCTCGCCCCCCCACCCCTAAATGCCACCCCAACAAACCCATGGGTGCACGTACACAGAGCTCCCTGGAAATCACTGCTACGTTGCTCCGGGGGGGAAGGATCCCGCACCCGCCTGATGGATCGCCCTCCCCTGAGCCCCCAGATGATGCATTTTTAATGGCAAAGAGATTAAAAGAATAAATAAAAACACGGGGAGCTCTCCCACTTCCTGCACTGCCACCACTGGAGGTGGCCACCCCTGGGGCTGTTGGGCCCTCCAAGCTGAGGATCCCCACATTTAGGGGGTCAGATGGACCCACCGCTGCCCACCGGACCCCACGGAGCCACAGCCCAGGTGCAAAACCCACAGCAAACGGGATGTGGGGAAGGAAAAGATGTGGAGCGCGGCGTTCAGAGCGCGGGATGCAAGCAGGAACCAACTGCCTTCACTGGGGAGGGGGCGATCCGAGGTGGGCTTCTTCTGCTTTATTCTTTTGATTTTTGGATCCCGTGCGATTGATCACAAAAATGGAACCCGGCGTCCAAATGAGAAATGGAAATGGGAAGCGCTCCGCGGCGCTGGAATCATCGCGGCTGCCTGGAGAAGTGGGGGAGGCACGGCGCCCGTAATGAAACTTCATCCATCTCCACACAGAAACTTGGGCTTTTTTATGAACCGCCACTTTCAGGGGGAGCCACGTGGCCTCTGGGATGTACAGACAGAGATACACTGATTATATAGATACACAGATAGATATACAGATATGTACTGAGCAAGTCTATCAGGGGTGCTGTGAGTAAACGTAAGGGAGCCGAAAAGAACAAATATAATAACGGTACAGGACGATTTGATTTGCTAGAAAACACAATAATGTAAAAGAAAAATTAGATGAAAGGGACAACGCCTTCCCCCCCAACTCAGCTTTCCGAAGCTGCTCAATTAATTTTAATGGGATCGCCGTCCTCGAGGCAGGTTTGGAGCTCTCGGCTCAGATCCGGGAGCGACCGAGCGGCGCTGGGCTGCGGTGCTGCTGCAGCTGGGGATGCCTCATTGCGGCTGCTGCTAATTGAATTAAGGCTGACGAGGAAGAGATCGTCTGCTGAGAGCGGCCTGGAGGGATGAGGGCAGCCGTGGGGCTGTGGGGAGAGCAGGGCCCTGCCTGGGGCTGCCGAGGGAGCCGGAGGGCGAAGGGCTGGCAGCAGAACTGCCTGGGTTTGGGCTGCTGAGAAGCATTTTGGGGCAGGAAGAGTTATTTCTGCTTCTCTGGTCCTGCAAGCAGTGTGGCATGGCCACAGCCTCATCGCTGTCCCCATCCTCATCTCATTTCATTCCCCTTCCCATCCCCAACCCCATTGCCATTTCCATCCCTATTCCCGTTCCCATCCCCATCCCCATCTCATTTCATTCCCATCCCGTCCTCATCTCATCCCATCCCCAATCCCACCCCTTCCCACACCCATCCCATCCCATCTCCATTCCCACCCTATCCCCATTCCCATCCCCATCTCTTCCTTATCCCCACCCCCATCCCACCCCTTTTCCCTCTCCCTCCAAGAGCTGCCAAAGGACACGGGGCAGAGCCCAGCAGGGCTGCACCTTGGCAGCAGCCCAGGAGCGGCTCATTTCCCTAAAAGCCTCCCGATAAATTACTGCTGCTCCATAAGAGGCACTTTGGCTCACACCATCGCTCAGGGGCTGCAGCCACCCCACCAACCCGGCACAGCTGGGGACAGCAAGTGCTGTGGGGAGGTGCAGAGCAGGGGGACAGCAAGTGGGCAGACCCTACTGCAGGCTGCAGGGTGCCCAGTTAGTGAGGGTGGTGCAGAGAGGTGCAGGGTGCCAAGCGTGGGAGCAAAGGCAGGAGCTGAGAACCCCTGCTCAGACCTGCTAAGACTCCATGGTTTACGGGTTACAAATGTTTGCGAAGCCAAATTTAGAAATGCTTTTGCAGGTTTGCAGAGCTCCCTGCCTGGGCACAAGGGGTGGCACAGAGCAGGGTGGAGGGCCGTCAGCATGGCTGTGTGCCTTCAACCACAGCTAGGAGCTGCAGAAGGCCGTGAGGGGGAATTGCAGAATCTCATTAGAGCAGCAGGAATCGGAACACGCTCCACTGCCAGCCCAGAATGCCTGCAGGAGGGAGGGGAGCTCGTGCTCTGATCTGCCTCAGTAGGAAGGGAACGGGGCACGATGCACAGGGAGAACCAGAGAACCCCTCTGGGTTACTGTCACTGCATTTGGCCTCTGGGAGGTGCACAGGGCAGGGAGTCCTCCAGGGGACGGCGCCACGTGGGCGCTGCAGGTGAAAACACCCCAAGATCCCCTGAAGGCACAGCCAGGCACCGGGCACGGTCAGATCCAACCTCTGTGTGCCAAAGCAGCGGCAGCACCGGTTGCCACAGGGCTTGCTGAGCAGGGCTGGCTGGGGCAGCTGGCTGCTGCCTGTGCTGTCCATGAATCTGGACCCAACGCCTGCCTGCGTGGCCAAACCTGGAGTGCGCTGGCAGGCAGCATTGCGGCGCTGCATGGGGCTGCTCTGCTGGCGTGCTGCAACCACCAGCACTGTTCCACAGGCCCCCACTGCTGGCACTCACCCTTCAGATATTTCCTTGGAGGAGGAGAAGCCTTGGAATAGTTTTCATTTTTTTCCCCTCTTTTCTTCTCACCTCCAGCACAGCAGGAACAGGAGCACGGGGTTTTCGGGATCTCCCCTGACTCTTCATTAGGAGCTCCAGTACCTGAACCAAGGCTGTTTTATGCTTTTACTTTTAACAGAAGCAAACATAAATTATCAACACCGGAGGAAATATTAAGCAGTGATGCTTAAAAGCCCATTTGCAGCTTCCTTTCCAGGCCCGGGGCAGCTGCACAGGCAGCCAACAGAAGAGGTGCTGCAGCTTCCATTCCCTCTTCCCCCATTGCAGGAGTCGGGTCAACCCACCGATGCCGCCAGGCAAGAAACAACACGAGGCTGCAACGGGGGGAGAATTTTATTCCTATAAAAGCACATATAAATAATCTGGTCTCATTCTCACATTAGGAAGAAATACAGCCCCAGGACGATGCCTCAGCCCCACTGCAGGCCGGGGGGCACCGGCCACCCCCCAGGCGGGGGGGCCCGCAGGGATGGGGGCAGCTCCTGCAGAGGGGGCCAGCCGGGGGGGTACTGGAAGGGTGCGGGTTTCTCAGGCAGGGCACTGCGGAGGTGGAAAGGGCAGAGATGAGCCTCCTTGGATTGCCAGCACGGCCCTGCTCAGGGACACGGCTCTGTCCATGAGGCCGATCTGACCCCAGCTCCTGGCACAGCTGAGCTTTGAGAACAACAGCTGCAGATGAGGTCGTGGTTTCCTCCCGGGCAGCCCCCCGAGCCCAAGGCAGCTGCACACTTCCCAGAGGACAAGGAGCCCTCGGAAGCGGCGGAGCTGCCAAAAGCCAGCTGTTCTCCCTGAAGCACCCTTACAGAGGGAAGAGGTTTTCTCCCCCAGCTCACAGCGCGGGCAGCAGAAACACAGAATTGAGAAGCGCCGCTCCTTCATCTCCAACCAAAGCAAGCGCCCGGCCGGGCAGGTTTAAAATCACAGCAAATGTAGTGAGGAATTAATGGGGAAGGGTACAGGAAACTCATTTGTTCCTCAGCAGCAGCCCTGACAGCAGCCCTCCCGCTTCTCAGGCCTCTACCTCTGATCCTGATGGATCCCTTTAATTGCTATGCCAGGAGAAATCCAATCACGCTCCTTTACATAATGCTCTGGAGGAGCAGCACCCTCCTCTCCCTGCAGGGCTGGAGACGTGGCCCCACGCCAGCTCCAGGAGTTCAGTGCGGTGTTTTCCAGGCAACTAGCAGAGAGTAAAGTCATTTGCCATAAAGCTCATCCCCTGTTCTGCACCAGGGATGGGAGAAGGACCAACAGACACACAGCAGCCCCATAAGGGAAGGAACTCCCCTCGGGTTGCACCCAGGTCCTGCAGCAGCAGAGCAGCAGGACAAGGAGCAGGATGAGGCATGCTGTAAGATGGAACAGCACAGCTATCAACTAATGAGCTGCCCTGAGAGCAGCAGAATAAATCAATAGGGAGGATGCTGTCTGGGTACTCGATTCTCTGGGGTCTCATAAGACACGAGTGCTATGATGGGTTCACCTCCTGTTGGGGTATTCAGAGTGACAGCCCCATGGGAATTCTTCAGGGTGGTGTAGGGGCCAAGGCTACGTCCTTTCCAGAGGCACTGATGGAATCTCAGCACCCACAGCCCTTGGGCCCTGCTCTGATGGAAAGCTGCAAGTGGGCTCTGCATCATCATGGTGCACGCACAACACACACACACACACACACCCCCACCCCTCCTCTGGAAATGAGGGTAAAAATCAAAGCTCCACAGCTCAGCAATCTGCAACAATGCCATCCAGCTTCCCCCTGCTCTCCAGAAAGCAGATGGCACGATGAGACTGAAAATATGGCTGAGAAGCCATATGGAAAGCTATGGAAGCTTCCAAGTGCAGACTGTGCTGCTGAGCCCAACTGTGGGTGGAGGGCAGCATGGCAGTTCTACCACCACAGAGCTGGTTGAAGTGATGCTCAGCAAACCCCAAGGCAGTGCCATTCAGAACACACTACATGCCATGGAACCCCCCATCTCAAATAGCAGGACAAGGACTGTGCTCCTTCCGAAAAGTTCTGGGGATGTTCAGAGGCCACACGGGCCACGCAGGTCCCACAAGGTCGGGGTTGAGCAGCGGGTGCCCTCTGTGAGAGCTGATCCATCCTGAGACTGGGGGCTTCTTGGGCAGGATGAATGAACAGGGACAGCATGACTGCAGGGCAAGGAGCAGCTGGACTGAGGGATGGAGGGAGCAGAGAGCAGCACGCCCAGACGGTCACCAGAGAGAAGATTCTGCCCAGACCAAACATGGAAAGGACAGGAGCAAACAGAACGAAGAACAAAAGAGAGATCTGGCACCTGCCCAAACGCCATCCAATTAAGCCTGCGGCACTGTCAGGTGAGCAGGGAAGCAGCAGGGACCTGCAGGCACCCCACAGCACACAGGAAGAGCCAATCCCATCTCCGACTGGCAACGGAGAAAGCAGGTATAGGCAGAGGCATACAGACAGGGCATGGCAGAGGATGGGGGAGCTGTCAGCAGATGAGACCAACCTGCTGTCACCGGCTCCGGGCATTAGTAACGTGGCCCTGCCGCGGCAGCCTCCTCCCAGACATGTCTGGCACTCTGTAAAGGCTGCAGGAGCTCCCTGCCTGCATCCCCCGGGGCAGGAGGACAGACAGCAGGACCTCGTCACCTCCACACCTGACCTCTGGCACCATCTCCCACCCCATTTTTCCATCCCACCCCCCCCATGGTACCTGTTGCTCTGAGCTGCGCTCAGCCTCTTGGCTCTCTTCTCCAGCCAGATCTCAATGGTGCCAGGTGGGATTTCTGCTCCTTCCTGCCGCAGCTCCCTCAATCTCTGCTCCCCTGGTTGAGAGAGAGCTGTCAGAGGTTTGCACTGCCATCTTTTCACTCCACCAAACCCATTGCTCATCGCCCTGCAGAGTTTCTTATCATGGAGAGCTCGCAATCTAATGGCAGCCCGCTCTGCCCCACTGCCCGCCCTCCATCAGATGCTGCTCTGGCTCGGGCAGGGAGCTGTGCCACCCCCTTCGTCCTCATCCCCAAAGCTCCCAGGGAGGAGGGGACCCTGATCCCACTCAGACACCATCTGCCACCTGTGGCCACGCTCACCCGGAGCTGCTCTCACCTCACCACCATATGTCACACGTTTAAGGAAAACATTATACGTTTCCAGACAGGGTGTGAAATTGATATTGCTTGGGCAGAGTGAAGGATCACTTCATCCTAGTGGTGGCAACCAATTATTCATCTGCCTGCTGAATATTAATAAGGATGGCAGGAATGTGCTACACAATGAGCAGCCGGAGATGGATAATTTGTCATCCAGCCTTTTCATCTGCTGCTGCTGGGAGGAGGTGACGGTGCTCACTGCCACCACAAAGAGCTCCTGCTGGGGTCCCCATGTTGGGGTACGCTCTGCAAGCCAGAGATAAGGGTACTGGTTGGAAACAGGGCTGTTCACACATCTCCCACTGTTGTTCTCGAGGAGTAAAGTCCCAGCAGAGCCATCCAGAGTCCAACAGAGAGCCTGAGAGCAGCGGAGGACAAGCAGAGCAGTCTGGTAAGCAGGGCACTCGGCTCAGACTCAGGACAGGAGCTGAATGCAGCTCCCACATTAGAATTCCTCAGCCAAAGGCTCTCTGTTCAGAGCAGGGACCAAACTGGCAGGAGCCCACAGCCTCTTCCTGGTCCCCATGAGGTCACTGGCTGTGATGGGACATCTCCCAGCTCACGCTGGCTGAAGCCAGGCCCAAGGTGAAAGCCATCCAGCTGGCTCCTGCTCCCAGCTCCAGCCCTCAGCCAAGCCTTAAGGCGGCAGATATGGACACGCATCCAGCTCTGCACCCCTTGATAAATGCCCATCTAAAGGCAAATCTTCATCCCATCCTGTTCTGCAGGACACACATTGGGGTGGGCCGGTGGTGATCTCAGAGCTCCTTTCCAACCTCAGTGATTCCATGATTTTCCCAGTATTCCCTGAAGGTCAGAGATATTCCAAGATGCCATTCTGAAATGCAATTACCTGCCCTTACTCCTTGTTACTGACCACAGCCAGACTGCAGCAGAAAGAAAGACGGGTTGTGAAGGTCCTTCTTCCCTCAGCCCTCACTGGGGCGTCTGCCTCAAAGTTTAATTACAGCCAATTAAAAGAGTGGCTGCAGTCATAAAGCGCCTCTCTAACGATGCCGGCCCAGAATTCCACCTTCCTCCTTTCTCCCTGTGCAACTCCCAGCACCAGGAAAACCAAACAAATCCCAGAGTGGAGCTCACAGCGCCTGCACCGCTCAGGATGCCAACGTGCAGAACCCAAACGAGGCACCACGGAGGCTGGTCCCCCAGCAGAGATGTGCGTGCAGTGGTAGAACCACAATGGCTGGAACAGACCCAGCCGTGGCCCTGCTCTCCCCCAGCTCACCAGAGCTGCTCAGAGAGGCTGAGCTGTGTCAACACCATGAGCAGAAGTGACGCGGATTAGCAGGGAGCCAATAACTTCAAGCAAAAAGATGCCAATTTTGCAGTGACTTTTCTTGACATGACTGTACTAAAAATGACAGCCTGGAAGTGTCTCTCTGATGAATGATGCAGCAGATGCAGCGATAACGCTTTGATGCAGTAACAGCTGGGAATAAGCCTCCCTCCCTGCTGAAGGTGGAAACTGTTGCTTCTTTATGAGTACACTCTACCTGGTGCAGAACTGCTGCAGCCAAACCAGGGCAGGCTCTAAGCGAGTGTAAAGCGGCCAGAAACGTCCCTGCTTAACCCACACGACCAGCACAAATGAGGTGAATCCCCTGCTCTAAGAGGCCAAACCTGAGAAATAAGGCAGCGTTCCCTTTGGCTGTTAATAAAGTACATCGTTAGCATGGAGCACTTGCTGCCACAGAACTACCAGCACCAAGCACGACGCAAAGCCCAGGAGCTAGAGAGGGCTGTGCCATCGTTTAGAATGCAAGCCCACCCCTAGCATATAGAATCATGAGTTGGAAGGGACCCTTAAAGGCCACCTGGTCCAACTCCCCTGCATTGAACAGGGAAACCCACAGCTCCACCAGGTGCTCAGAGCCCCATGCGGCCTGGCCTCGGAGAACACAGCTCAGTGGTGTTCAGCATTTCATCACAGGACTTCCTCACAACCTGATTCTGAAGCGTCTGCCCGGCAAAGGGGAGAACAGCTCTGAGGATTGCATTACGAGGATCAAGCCTCCCATCTGTCTCTTATAACCTGTCTTTTAATCTGCCATCCACAAGCTTGCTGCAGTCTCTGTCCTAAACCTCATCACCTGAAACACTGCTGCTTCAGCAGCCCAAGGAGCGCTGGCACGTCCCCACAAGGCACCTAAAGGTGGTTTGGCACCTGCAGCCATTCATCCTGTCCAGTCCTGGGCTCCACCTCTTGCCCACCACATCCTGCTGAGCCCTTCCCTCCACCAAACCTGAATTTGAGCTCTGTGCAGGCCTCAGCCAGAGTGCTTGGCTCCCACAGGACATCCACAAAGCAACAGTGCGAGAGAGGCGAGCAGCATTTAACTACAGCCCAGCACGCGTGACAGCACAGCCAAGGAGAGGCACCCTGCTGTCCCCTGGTGAAGCCTAATTGCTTAATTAAACGTTTGACTTAGTAATACAAATGCAAGGTTTCCAAGCAGCCTCCCGGGAGCCGCTCTCTCACCAGCCAACTCCCCACTTACGTCCGACCCATCTGACACAAGTCAATATTCAGTAGCAAGTGCAACTGGCAAGGCAGCCTGCCCAAGCACAGAGGAGCTTGCCAGCCTTCCCCCGCAGCTCTGCTCTGCTCCACAGTGCTCTCTTCCCTGCAATAAAGAGCCTGGAAACATCACAGGTTCCTCCAAACAGGCTGACTTGTGAAGCCAGCCTGGCACGTGAGCCCCACAGCAGGGAGGGGTGACAGCCGTGGGGAGAGGAGTGCTGCTCCATGCAGCCCCCAGAGATGGCTTTTATTGAGTGCCAGCACTGCTCAGCTATTGATTCAGCATCACCCCAGGGACCTGCACTGACTCAGCAGCAGGGAGGACTGGAAGGAAGGCAGCTTTCAAGTGCTGTGTGTGCCCACACACACCCCAAATCTCATATGGGACTTATTGGAGTGAGTCCACCTGAAACAAGAGGCTCATGGAGGCGGATCAGGGGATCTCAGCCATGTGTGTAAATACCCAGGAGTGAAGGTGACAGAGCCAGGCTACGTGATGGCATCCAGTGAAAGGATAAGAGGCAAAGGGGGCAAATGGAAATACAGGAATTTCCACTGGAAGATAAGAAAATGCATTTTTACTGTAAGGGAGGTCAAAGGTGGTGTGGAGTCTCTGTCCTTGGAGATGCTCAGAATACACATGGACAGAGCCCTGAGCAGCCTGCTGCAGCTCACCCAAAGAGCAATGCAGGGTTGGGGCAGGATGATCTCCAGAGGGACCTCAGCTACTCCACGTGGCTTCATCAACATCCCACTCACTTTTTTTCTGAGGAGGAATGAACACACCAGGGAAAACAGCTGCTGCTCCTCTGAGGGTGGGGAGGCAGCACTCTCAGCAAGGAAAAGCGTTAGAATGAAAAAGTGCTCCTGAGACTCAGAGCAGGGAGCCAGGTGCTATTTGTCTCCTGCCCAAACTTCAGTTCCACTGAAAAACCACACAAACAGAGGCTGTTTCTGGACCCAGGACCCCATTTCATCTCCTCAGGACAACACATCTGATCACCTGATCAGATCACAAGAGCGAGACAGGAGCAAACTGCTCCCCGGGCATAATAGAGAGGTGGGGGGAAGCCAAAGCCATAAATTTAAGGGGAAGTGATGTACCAGTGCCCTCTGCTGCTGACAGATTTTATTCCCCGACTGAAGAAAACCCCAAGGGCTCAGGAAGCCCACTCTGCTTCAGCTGCTCGCTGCTAAGTGGCAGCAGTGCTGCTCAACTCTTTAGGTTTGTGTCTGTGCCAGGAGATCAAGAGCAGGAAGCATCTGAAAAACTGCAGCAATTACAGGCAGCCTCCGGGCTCAGCAGCCAGGAGAGGCAGGAGGGAGCAGCCACGTTCACAGACAGCACAGCATCACACACTCTCACTGCACAACAGCTCATGTGCCCCCCTGCAGCCCACCATCCTTGCGGCAACTGCCCCTTCCTCAGAAACTCCCCCTCATTTTCTTGCCCCAGGGCTCACCTTGCACCTGCGCACTCAGCTTCTCCAAGTCCTGCTCTGTCATGTGGGAAAATCTGCAGTTGGACCCAAAGTCACACTGCCCTGGAAGAACAGCCACAGAGCTCCGTGAGTAATGCACACACGAGGTCCTGCCATGTAAACGTGTGTGCAAATCCAGGCTCCACCACACACAGGCACACAGACCCGTGCCCCTCACTGCCCCCGAGGCAGACACACACCCTGCAGGGCTCACCAAGGAGGTATTTCCACCTCACCTGTTTGTAGAAACTTCCGACATGGCTTCTTGCTCTGCTCCTCTTGCAGGATAGCAGCAGCATCTGGGGGAGATAAATGACACAACGCAGGACAGGATCACATCTTTTGCACAGCAGCATCCTGCCAAAGCTCAGTCTGCCTGACATGAAGGCATTTTTTTACATGTTTTACAGGACAATCCTGACCTTAAGCCAAGGGCAAACCCATAACACAGTCCCCATCTACACCCCAGGCTTCAGCTTTTTCCTGGCTTGCAAACATCCCCTTCCCTGCTTTCCTCTCCACACTTTTTCCCCACCCAAGCAGCACAAAGGAGGCATGACAGAAAAGCAACACTGCTCCACTCTTGTGCAGCGCAGAGGAGCAGGCAGGTTAAAGGGGCTCTGCCAGGCCCCACTGAACCCCGTGCTGAGGCTCAGGCAGACAGCAGCACCGTGCTCCTCCACCTCCTGCAGGTGTCCTGGGGAAAACACAGCAGCTCCCGTAGGTTGTGGAGAAATTTGCAAATATCTGGAGATGCATGGAGCCAAGGCAAAACACCCACTCAGGGCCGACATGAGGGATTTGATGAATCAGAGGAAAATCAAGGGCTGCAGCCTGGGAGGGAGAAACGCGCCAAGCCATCTGCCTCACTGTCACCGACCCGTGTAGAAGGCTGTTGGGCGGTGAGACCTCCACACTGGGCCTTTTCTTGGACCCTTCCTATCTCCACATACACTGCAGCAGATGCCTCAGAGCTCTGCAGCATTCCCCTCAGCTCACAGGGAACACACAGCCTGCAGCACCTGCTCGTGAGGAGCTGGAGGGGAGAAGCAAAGGAACACACAAGCAATGGTTTCACCATCACTTTAATCCGAGCTAAGTCTTTGCATATTGCCAAAGCCCACAGTGCCACGTGTCTCTCATAGCCCAACCACACTCAGACCATATTCCTGGGGCTGGCACTGGGACACCCACCTCGGAACAAGTCGTACCAGGCTCTCTTAGCCCGGAGATGCTGCACTCCATTGAGGTGTTTCTTCCTGTTGTGCAGGTTGTCCTGGAAGGACCGGTCACAGTAATCACAGAAATATCTTTTCCCCATCTCTCCTCCTGTAAAGCAGCTCACGCAGCCTCAGAGCTGTCAGGCAGAGCCTCGGTGCCCGGGGACGGAGAAGGACATGCCGAAGGAGCAGAGATTTACAGCGCCTGCTTCCAAAGGAGGAGAATTCAAATCGTAGAGAGCTGGCAGACAGAGGAAGAGGTGAGACCTGCCATCCATCCCTCAGGGACTGGCACGGCGCTGTCTGCTGCACATACTGGCAGGGCCAGCTCAGCTCTGCTTTCCCCACTTCTGCCACCCCGTGGGATGGCGGCTCTGCTAGGAAATCACTCAGACCCTGAGAGCCCAGGGATCCCTGGAGCTGCACCAAGGCCAGGCACACAACCTGGGGCTGCAGACAACCAATTGAGCTGCCACGCGAGGGAGAGAATTCTGCGTCCACCCTCACCTCAAGGAAGAGCTTAAAGAACTTGGGGGGCAATAAGCCAGCTGCTCTGGTGCACCGTGCCTGGGGCCGCCCAGCTGCTGCAGGTGCAGCAGGGAATCTTACCCCCGGGAGCCTTACGTTCTGTCTGTGAGATGTAACAGCAGCTGATAAATGCCAAAGATGGATAGACTGGGAGATAAACTCCAAAAGCAATTCTCCAGCTTTAGACACCTTGACAGCTAAACGCATTTAAAAAATAGCGCAGAGAGCAGCACGAGAAAGAAAGATTTTATAAATAAATCAGGGTGGGAATCAATCACTGCCTCTCTAAGGATTCCTCAGAGCTGGCAGGAAGCACAGCAACAAGCAGAGCCCAGGCCGAGTGTGGCTGAGCCACCTGCGAGCTCCTGCCTTCCCAAAAGCATCACGTCCCCAAAGCCTCATCTCCGCAGGGAGCTCCAGGTCTGGAATTCACAGCTCCCAAGCAGCCAGAACCGAACGCTGCTTCACAAACACCCCAAACTGCCATCCCTAAGGAGGCCCCGGGGTGGTGCAGCAGCAGCCGGTGCGGTTGTGGAGCGCAGAGGAGGAGAGCTGCGGCGCTCAGTGCCCGCACAGCTGCTATGGACACAACCGCCGCCCTGCTCGCTTCGCGCCGCGGCACCTCGAGCTCCCAGGCACCACGGCAGCTTCCCATCCCGGCTGCTGCCTCCTGCACGGCCCCTCTGCAGCGCAGCTGCTGCGAAGGAGGAAAACAAAGCATTTTCCGCAGCGGGGCCGCAGGATCCCGCCCGTCTCCGTAGAATCCCGCCCGCAGGAGCCCAGCAGCGGGCAGAGCCTCGGTGCGCGCCTCGAACTCACGTGCGGCGCCGGCAGCAATGACGCGGCGCTCAGTGCACGCTCCGTGCGGGAGAAAAGCCCCGAAAGGAACAGAATTAAAACTTACTGCAGCTCCTCCCGAGGCTCCCCTCCCCCACAAGTCCCGACCCCCTTAGCCGCTCTCCCAGTTCCACGGCCGGCCCTTCCCGCTCACCTCCGCCCGGCCTGCGGCCTTTAGCGCCGCGCCTACAACTCCCAGCAGCCCCCGCGGCGCGCGCCTATAGCTCCCAGCAGCCCCCCGAGGACGGCGGCGGCGCAGGCGCAGAAGGCGCATCCAAGATGGCGCTGCTCAGGCAGGCTTACAGCGCGCTCTTCCGCCGCACCTCCACTTTCGCCCTCACCGTCGTGCTGGGCGCCGTGCTGTTCGAACGCGCCTTCGATCAGGGCGCGGACGCCATCTTCGAACACCTCAACGAAGGGGTAAGGAAGGGTCGGGGCGCTGCCGGGGTCGCCCGGCGGTGGGAGCGGCCCTGAAGGTCAGCGCTGGCCGGGGGGGGACAGGCTGCTGCGTGGCGCTGAGGAGCGATGTGAGCTCACGGCTGGCTGCCCGGATCCAAGGGCGGATCCAGCGTTAGCAGGGTCACCTCAGTGCCCGCTGTGTCTAAAACAGCCGTCTCGTGTCCTCTGCCGCCTCTCGGACCTGGGTCGGGAGGTCAGAAAGCGGCTGGAAGCTCAGGGCACGCGGCAGGACAGCCTGAGCGCCCCGCAGCAGCCGAGCCGGGCCGGGGGGGCACGGAGGAGCGAGACGGCGTCCCTTCCTGTGCCTCCTTAGCAGCAGGTGTTTGTTAGGGCTGTTTTAAATAACATCTGAGCTTGAACTCTGCTCTCAGCTCCCGTCCTGCCCTCGTGCAGTGCTTCTCTTGGCCCTGAATTCACCAGCAGATCTCGGTATCTGGATAGGATTCCTTTGTGTGCCTCTGGCAGCGCTCAGCCTCTGCGTTGGGACAAGTGTGGGAGCTGTGGCAGTGCAGCAGCAATAGGAGGGCAGGGAGGTGGATGGAGCAGCCATCCTGAAGCCTTTGTGGTTGGTCAGGGTTTGCCCAGGCACAGCAGGAGGGCACGGGGCAGCTGTACCCAAACTGTCACCCTGCTGGTGTTTGTGGATGTGTTTTCCTGCGCATTCTTCTGCCCCTCATTGTTACTGATAACTACATTTTAAAGTAAAGCTTTATCCCAGGACCACTGAGAAGCTAATTGTTTCTTTTCTGTTTGTTTTGCATACAGAAACTGTGGAAACACATCAAGCACAAATATGAAGCAAGCCAAGACTGAAATGTTCAGCAGCAAGATCCAGTCTGGGGTGGCAAAAGACACTGCAGAGAAGGATTCAGTCTCCTGAAACAGGTTATATTGAAATGGAATTGGGTCCCTGACTGATTCCGAGCCAGATTATATCAGCCACCTACTGATATGATGTCAACCAAGATGGACTCAACGAGTTCTGCTGCTGTATTGAAACTTGCTGTATTAAAATAAAACAAAAATGCTTGACCCGTGTTTCATGCTTCTGTGTTTCCCTGCCTTGTCCTTTGTTCTGCCTGCAGCTTCTCCTTACCTGTGAAATGGAGGATGCTTCGGCTCAGCCCCAAACCTTACTTTCAGGACACTGTAGGAAAGCAAGCTCTTCTCAGGGCAGTGTGAAAGCACACACTTGCACAGCTGAGGTGCACTAACACCACTGCTGGCTTCTGCCCAATGAGAACTCAAGCAGGGCGAGGAGCTGCCTGCTTTCCTCTCATCGTATTCAAAGAAAAGTGAACAACTACAATCACAAGGTTTTCTATAAACCATCAGCTTTCTTTAATGCAGAGTTGTTCTGGTTTTTGGCTTCTCGTTATTCCACAGCTGCAGCCCAAATGCTGCTGCCCCTGCCTTAAGCAGGGAGAGAACTGCCTGCCCTGTCCTGCTGTGTGCTCTGAGGGGCTCAGCAGTACTAAATGGGGATGGTGTGTGACAGCCTGTCATCAGATCCATGAAATGGGCTGTAAGTGATGTTGCTGACTGTCAGCGTGCCTTGTGGCTCTCAAGAGTGCTCTGTAGAGCTGAACTGTTATGCAGCTTGCCTGGTCTGCTGTCAGCCTGCCTCAGTGCCCTCAGATTGCAGCAGAGTTGTTGAGAAGGGACAGCAACCACGTAGCTCTGCAACAAGCATTCGTGCCTCTGCTCTCATGGGGAACAGAGTAATTCTCAGCACCTGCTCTGAAAGGTCTCCCCCTGTTCCCAGTGGACATTTCCAATAACTTTCTTCATGAGGAAGGGCTGTTAGGATAGTGTTTGGGTTAATGATTCAATTAAAACAGAATTACTCCAGGGAGAGCTGGCAGAAACCAGCTCCTGCTCTCCCATTTCCCCTCCAATCCAAGCCTGCTGCTGGAGGACCTATAAAAACACATCTCTCCCTCCTTACTATATTCTTGCTAATAAGCAGCAATTTTAGCAGTGGATGAGGCAGTGCAAATTACAGCCAGCACTAATGAAAGCAGCTTTATTGGGTTTGTAAATATGTGCCAGACAGGAGTAAAACGTTTACTGTAAGAACATTAAGAGGTCTTAAAAGCATTGTGCTTGTTTTTGAGCAAAAAACAACTAGGGCTTTTCACAGTCCCAGCTGTGCTTTTACAGAGATGCTTAAGAGGAGGTTTAAGCTTTCTTGGGATTATCTCCTACCATTTAAGTGCTGCTTTACTCCAAGTTCTGGCTGCAGTGCTGATAGCTTCACACTATGCTGAGCAGGTGATAGAGATTTGCAGCTTCTTAGAAGCAAGAACTGAAGATGAATACAGTATTAGGAAAGGGGAGACAGCATTGTAGCAGTCTGGCAGAGTAAATGAAGCTCTCAGGCCAGAGAACAATAGCTATAAAACACTGGGGAATTTTCCCAGTGGGTAATTTTCCTCGACTCTGGATTTTTTGGGAAGTTGGTGAACCCAATTCCCTTTGTGCTGTGCCCTGTCATTACGAGGTTTGGGACGAGGTGCACTCAGACGTTTCCACGCTGTGGCACAGAGGTACTTGGCAGCAGCAGCGATCCTACAGCCCCACAGTCCCCGCCCTCTGCGTAAAACCAGGCAGCAACCGCTGCGCCTACAGCCTACAGCGTGTGCTGCAGCGTTGGAAGGGGAGCACGGCACTCCATGTGCCCTGGAGCAGTGGCTGTAACACTGCACAGCCCGGGGCTCATTTCTCCAGCACGTGGCAACAAGCACGGGCAGCTTTGTCTGCTCTGCTCTATACGTGTGTACTTGAAAAAGCACAGAAGTGGTGGTGGTGAGATGGCGTTTGGAATAGACTAACCAAGCAAAGCCTAATTGTTACCTGGAAGTGCGTCTCCACGAGGAAAAGAGCACCCCAAAACCATGCAAAATGCTCCGTGGCAACAGCGACTGGTTTTCCCACCATCAGTGGGCAGGCAGTCCAGGGCACAGCACAGCAGCCCACCTACAGACAGGTCACAAAGCAAACTCAAGGATTTGCACATCTCTCCACGCAGAGAGCATCTCCATCACAAAAGACAGCCCTCAGGGAAAGCCCTTTCAGCAACTAGAAAGTGCTGCTTACTAATAGCTCCCAGGCTTCCAAACAGCAAACATGAAGATCAGGGCAGTTCTGCTTCATGGAGTGTGACAAGCAGTTAGTGAGGAGCTGGCTCCCCAGGGACTCTGACCCTGCTATCTCCGATTTCCACGTTACTGTCAGCTTGCATTGGATACCACGAGCCTGATTTTCAATTATCTCGTCTCTCAGTGGCTAGATCTCATTTCACTAAACCAACACAGAGCAGCAAACAAATTTCACCGCCTGCAGACGCAGCACATTGCTGAAGCTCCTCCAACTTCAAGATCAATATAGTTCTTAAGAGCCTGAAACACCAACTACAAGACTCAAATCATTTATTGGCACATTCAGTTTTCCACACACCTTGCTCCAGGGACAGAAACTTATGATAGTCTCATTCACCTCAACTCCTACGTGTGTGTCAGCAGTGTTCAGCCCCAGCATTTTGCTGTCAGCCTTTGAGTCTCACTGCAGGACAAGGCATCTCAGAAGAGCAGGCAGCTGGAAGGGCTGCCCCCGGGAAGCCTTGCAAAGCCTGGAAGCTCCCCGTGGGCTGCAGTGAGGGCAGGAGGAGGCAGTATGAAAATAAAACTCTCCGAATTATAAATAGTACAAAAAGAAGTGAACGGTGGGTGCAGCTCACTGCTGTACACGTGTCTCTTCAGACTGAGGAACAGCCACGGTGTGCACGGAGGGCAGCTCCTCTCCAGGAAGAGGCAGCCCTCCCTCGGGATGTGCAGTTCACATGGAGCTGAAGGGCCAGGTTCTGGACGTGGCACCCAGCCTCCCTGAGGTAAGGGAGGGCCGAGGGGATGGAGCACAGCTGCCTCCAAGCAGAGGACTGGGGCTGCAGCACCTGGGAAGCTTTCAGGAAGGAATCATGCCTTTACTCCGCTTCCTGTCGGCCATGGCGCGCCGATTATGATTCGCTCTCGTGCTTTTGTTTGCTTCCTTCTTCCTTCGTTCCTGCACTGTTTCCCGGTTCTGCCCGTGTCCCTTTGTGTTCCCAACAACAGCAGAGCTGTCGTGCTTGTGCCTGGAGTACAGAGGGAGAAGGACATCACGACAAGCACACTTAAGGAAGAAAGTACATCAATCCCAAGGAAAGACTTGGGTCCGAGGGGTTCTGCCATTGCTCAGCCCAGCTCTGCGGGTCTGCAGAAGCTGAGCATCACATCAGCCCCACAGTGATGCTGTCCTACACACTGAGCATGTCAGCTGAGGCCAGCTACTGCACTGCCCTGAAATCCCACAGGAGTCGTTCAGCTCCGGGAAGCTGCTGCCCTCCAAGCTCTGACCAGCACAGAGCTGTGCTGATGATGTTACAGGATTCAATGAGACAGCACAACCAGCAGGGAAGTAAAAGTTGGGCGAGGAAGTTAACACCGTGCGGTGGTGACCCTGAGGACAGGAATGCTAAGGAACAGGTACATCCTCCTATTTGAGTCAGCTACAAGATATTCACTAATGACAGCAGAGCCATGGCTCCACCCTGCAGGGGGAGACACCGACTTACCCCTTCCTGGCAAGGAAAGCCAGCCTCCTGGCTTCAGCTCTCTCCCGCAGCACAGCTGGGTCCTGAACAAAGTGGTCCTACATGGGAAAGAAGGAAAGAGATGAGTGCTGCTGTAAGCTCAGCAGCATCCATCAGAGGGCTGGAGCAGGTTCTGC